TGGGCTAGAGTCTCAAATGGTGTAAATCAGCATAGTTCCATTGACTTCCCTGTGATGCTGCCAATTTACACCAGCTGAAGATCTGGATCCTTTATAATTTTTTGCCTTTCCATGCAACTTGTACATAGTGCTCAAAATGCTCGACTCCAAAAGGTGATGATATGAACAGAGGAAAATGCCCCGTGTCCAACATCTTCAAACCTGTGCACCTTATCTTAGGCACCAGAATCCATATTTAGGCACCTAAATAAAAATAGCCTGATGGAAATTTCAGCAACACTCAACACCCACAGCTCTGCTGTAGTCAATGGAAGCTGTGGGAGTTCCACATCTCCTAAAATAAGGCACTATGGTTTGTAATTGTTAGCCTATATCCTGATGAGTCTGTCTTGTTATAAACAAGCTAGAATCCTAGGCTATGTCTACACTACAGCTGGGATCGACGCTCAGAGATCAATCCACAGGCAGTCGATGTAGCAGGTCTACTGAAGACTCACCAAATCAACAGCAGATCGCTCTCCAGTCAACCCCTATACTCTACCCCGACAAGAAGAGTAAGGTAAATTGACAGGAGAGTTTCTCCCGTCGACCCGCTGCAGTATAGACCCCATGGTAACTCGACTTAAAATACGACAACTCCAGCTACGTTATTCATGTAGCTGGAGTTGCGTAGCATACGTCGACTTACCATGGTAGTAGAGACATAGCCCTAGAAATATAAGGCAAGGGACCTCAAGAGGTCATCTAATCCACCCCCGCCCTGCCACTTCCAGGCGGGATTAGGTATACCTTAAAATATATAATGGGGTGGCCAAACTTATTGACCCACCGAGCCGCATATGACAATCATCAGAAGTTTGAGAGTTGGGGCACACCTGTCGGGAGTTGGGGCTTCAGCAGGCACACCCTGTGGGTCTGAAGCCCCAAGACCCCCTCCTCGCTGGATAGAAGCCCCTACCTCACCACCCTGCTGCCCTCCCCCCCCCAAGTCTGGTAGGTAGAGAATGGGGAGGGTGCGGGTGGCTCCGAGAGTCTCACTTTAACTGTAAAAGAGCCGCATGTGGCTCACGAGCCACAGTTTGGCCACCCCTGGTATATAAAATGCACACGTCTGTTTGTAAAAGCTCAGCTGAAGTAACTCTCTATCTGGAAATATAGACTCGATTCACTGTTACCAACAACTTTTCCTTGCAAACAAAAATACTGAAAGGGTAATCAAGCAAGAAGCATCCGATCTTCCAAAACATCATACATCAGCAGCTTATACATAGTTGCTGATAGGGGTTTAAGGAGATGCGAGCCAGAGGCAGTAGCACCAGAGGACCTTGTCAAAAGGCTTCTGTTTGGGTGTCTTAAGAAGCTGGAAGCAAAGAAAACCATCTGGTTCAAAATCAGATAACTGCCATATATTTACCAAAGCACCTAACTATTGTGGCCAGGTCCTCAGTTGGAATAAACGGGCTGAATTCATGCACTGATCTCTGACTTCAACGGAGCTATGCTGATTTATTCCAGCTGAGGATCTGGCCCGATATCACATGCACTGGACAAAGTACTGGGGAAAATTTGGTAAATATCAGAGACCTAGCTAAGAAATGCTGTTTATTCACCTAATTTCCTATGACTAAATATTTAATATCAAAACTACTGAATGTAAGGACTGGAACAGTATAAAACACACACTAAAGAGCTGTGTGTGGAGCATGACACTTAGTATCAGAATCCCCGGGGTGAGAACATCTCTAATGAAATATGGTGCTTGGAAACTGTTCTCCGATGGAAAAGTCAGTTTATAGATAAAATATACTAACAGTGGGCCAGGTGCCTAGCTGGCATATATCAGCTCTGCTGATACCACTTCTGGACCCACACTATCTTGAACTTCACTGATGATTATGGGATATTTGATTAGGGGTCTGGAACACATGAGTTATGAGGAGAGGCTGAGGGAGCTGGGATTGTTTAGCCTGCAGAAGAGAAGAATGAGGGGGGATTTGATAGCTGCTTTCAACTACCTGAAAGGGGGTTCCAAAGAGGATGGCTCTAGACTGTTCTCAATGGTAGCAGATGACAGAACGAGGAGTAATGGTCTCAAGTTGCAGTGGGGGAGGTTTAGATTGGATATTAGGAAAAACTTTTTCACTAAGAGGGTGGTGAAACACTGGAATGCGTTACCTAGGGAGGTGGTAGAATCTCCTTCCTTAGAGGTTTTTAAGGTCAGGCTTGACAAAGCCCTGGCTGGGATGATTTAACTGGGAATTGGTCCTGCTTCGAGCAGGGGGTTGGACTAGATGACCTTCTGGGGTCCCTTCCAACCCTTATATTCTATGATTCTATGATTTGCATTAGTTAGGCTTAGAGACTTCTGTTGGCCCCTGAAAGGTAAGAGGCTAACAATGCTGTTAGATGCCCTGGTGCCATTTCCTACTGCATTAATATCAGAGCAGACTAGCTGTTTCAGAGGTAGTGTTGTAAGAGAGCCGAGCTTCCCTGTTCTGCATACAGGACTGGGAGCAAGAAGCTAATGAATTCTAATTCCACCTTTGATGCAAATTCCTGCTGCGGGCATGGGCATGCCATTCCATCCCTCTGCCTCCGAATCGCGGTTGGGAAAAGGCAATAACAAAAGGGGAGTATTGTTATTACTGTTATAATTCTCCAAGGCTGTGTGGCATCTGTACATGCTAAGATTTCAAACTCTTCAGACTCAAACACACGATCCTTTGAGGTGCTGAGCACCTTCAGCGTCCATTAAACAGTTTGGCACAATTCTGATTGCAGATAAATCACTTTATAAAAGAGAAAAGGGGCACATATGACAAGCCCGAAGAAGGAATACTTGCAGCCAGATCTTTAAAGGACCTCTATAGTCATCCCTTTAATATTTGCTGGTGCATCCCACTGTATCTGCAAAATCTTGTACTTGTATGTGGAAACTGAATAGTCACTAGTCAGGTGCACAAACACATAGTGTGCTCGTGCAAAGATTTTTTCATGAATACATAATGTTTCCAATGTGGGTTAAGAGGATGACAGAAAACATGATCCTCTGAAATTAATCTAGCCAAGCCCTAGAGGCTGCTGCTATTCCACAGACATATAGCTGATGTTCACTCACATACAGGTAAAGTTAAGTTTCTTTCTATGAACCACTGGGGCAGTTTGAATTCAAACATTTCCCCCTGACAAGTTGCAGTGCTGAGATATAGTCCATGTGTGTCCTAGTTGTCTTGGCATTAAAACTGAAAAATGCAAAAAATGAGATCTGTAGCCAGCCATTACACGTGAGATAGAATTAATCCAAAACAGAGAATTGGCAAGACTCTCTGCACTGTATTAGAAGCTAAGAAGGGAATTTAGCCCAGCGATTAATGGGACATAGAATCATAGAATCTCAGAGTTGGAAGGGACCTCAGGAAGTCATCTAGTCCAACCCCCTGCTCAAAGCAGGACCAATCCCCATTTTTTGCCTCAGATCCCTAAATGGCCCCCTCAAGGATTGAACTCACAACCCTGGGTTTAGCAGGCCAATGCTCAAACCACTGAGCTATCCCCAAAATGCTATGGTTGTTTTAAAATGCCTCCTGTTTTTCCACATGCTTAATATCAAAGCTTTCCTACCACAGGCTGCTTATACATGATTATTTTTGGTTAAAAAGACAGTTCCGGCTGGAAAACCCAACAGTACATTTGCAACGCATTTCAGTTGCTCTTAGAATATCAGGGTTGGAAGGGACCTCAGAAGGTCATCTAGTCCAACCTGCTGCTCAAAGCAGGACCAATCCCCAATTTTTGCCCCAGATCCCTAAATGGCCCCCTCAAGGATTGAACTCACAACCCAGGGTTTAGCAGGCCAATGCTCAAACCACTGAGCTATCCCTCCCCCCTTCATTAAGCTATTCTTAGGAATCTGTCCATACAATTTTATTAGTTTGTTTTGTTTGGCTTTCAGAATAATATGGCATCACAGAGAACTAGAAAATCCTGTCACTGAAGAGGAGATGGCTGAAATGGTTCAGAAACTGCCTTGAGATAATAAAAATCGCCAGGATACCTCATGCCTTTGGGATATATATTTTATGAATGTGATGTGTCTCAAATGTTGCCAGTGACCGCATGGATTGCTTCTTAAGAAGTGACTGAAAATCTCCAGATAACTGTTCAGCTGGCCACATGACTATATGAGGGTCTGGTAATAATTAATATCTGGGGTCAAATATTGCAGTTCTTCACTACTCACTTAAGACAACTCGCCCTGAAGTCAGGGCGGACTATGATTTCAGGATTAGATCTTGAACCTTCACCAAGTGATTCCAATCAGAGCACTGGGGAAGGGAGGAAGAAAAGCAGAATGAAAGAACTGTCTTGGTTGATGTGATGAATCAGACGTGACATGGGATGTGATTCAGTGCCCATTGAACACAAAATTAAGGTAGCTACTGGGTTCAGAGGGCATTGGATTAGGCCCTAAATGATTTTTCAAAAGTAAGAATTTGGCCCACATCCTTACCTGGTCTATAGCATAGTTTCATTTGGCTTCAGTGGTGCTGTGGCGATTTATGCCACTTGAGGATCTGACTCTTCATCTTCACCTCTCCCACAGTTCTTGAAACCCCCACCTATCTGTAGTGAACTGTACGACTGCTGGGATCATATGTGTGGCTCCATGGTTATATCAGTTTAAATATACTATGTGCTATTTTTCTGGTTTGAAAGTAAAAACAATTGCTACTGGTAATGCTGGGGTATAACTTTGCCGACTAGATATTAAAGAGCGTCTTAATGAAAAAACACAACCCCCAAAGTCTACACTGTAACCAAGATGCTAGACAATCAGCTCTGCAGATATTTTGCTTACTACAAGGATAGTTATTAATAAGGTGATATCTATCTATCTATCTATCTATCTATCACCTTATTAATAACTATCCTTGTAGTAAGCAAAATATATGTAGTAAGCAATATATATAAATTGACATAAAAAAGCCTTTCCAAATGAGTCCAAATTTATAAGTTTAATAATGTTCAAACATTTAAGATGTTATATACATTATAATGGCTGCATGTATTTTCTGCACATCTGTAATACATACTTGTAGGTAAGATAGGTTTTATACTACTCAGGGTCTTTACAAAGACAGCATCCCAATTAAAACAAACAAAGAAACAAAGAAACAAACAAAACCCCAAGACACCTGATAGCTTCAAATCAACATCAAGCTGGACTGTTACTGCCAATATTTCTCACAACATTCTGGCAGCACAAGGAAAATAAAATCTACAACCAGTCATTTTAAAAGAATGACATTTCTAGGCTTTATCTCAGAACCACGGCAGCTGTCTGTAATGTTCTTCAAGGGACCAGGTTGTATGGGCCTAATCCAACTCCCATTGAAATCAATGGCAAGATTCCCATTGACTTTGGATCAGGCCCTTAATGAATATTACATAGGGGCACTCTTGCCACTCGTTTTATGCAAAACTCCTATTGGCTTAGGAGTGTCACATGCCTGTGCACTTGCATACACACACTCTCTCTCTCTCTCTCTCTCTCTCTCACACACACACACACACACAGAATAAAGGCAGGGTGTCATGCCTAATGGACAAATGCAAGGCAAAACTGTTCCAAGGTCAGAAACCATTGGTTTGAATGTAGGAATCATTACTGTCCAGGGTTCTGCCTGACTCACTGAGTACTAGCAAATTGAATGTTATAAATATTCAAGTAGAAGAGATGGAACTAAATAACACCTTTTCTGTATAAATTATTTTCTGGCATAAAAATTAAATAAATGCAAAAAGACTACCTTCTGTCTATATGAAACCCAATCCTATATACACCGTTATAATTATTGTTAGAACTTTCATACAAATATTTACGCAGAAGGAGATAAATTGTGTAGTAAATAAGTTTAGCTGGCACTAAAATTGCAGAAGCAGAGGTATGAGCTGGTGGTATGAGTACAGAACTGGGAGCCAGGATTCCTCAGTTCCAGTCCTGGCTCTGACACGGACTCCCTTTATAGCCTTGGGCAAGTCATATAGCCTCTCAGCTTTAAGCTATCCATCTGTGAAGTGAGGATGATAATGTCCCATATGTCTCACTGGAGTGTTGATTAATATTTAATGTTTCCAAACATGCTATATAAATGCTTACTATTTCTATTTCATTTCAACATGACCTTTAAGGGACAGAAAATGGTGTCCAGGCCCAGCATACCTGCCCATTTTCTGCTGATCTTAATCCCACCTTCTTATTATTAGCACCATCAGCCCTGTCCTTCGTATCTAGAATCAAACACTGGTGTTAAGCCTATTCATATTTTTGCATCATTTGCTTGCCACAGAAGTTCCATTTGCTAATGACCCTGTTCAGTAAATATTCTGCCTAAATTCCATCTTGTTTTTCACAATATTTAAAAAAAAAACAACAACGAGGAGTCCTGGTGGCACCTTAAAGACTAATAAATTTATGTGTGCATAAATAAATGTGTTCGTCTCTAAGGTGCCACAAGGACTCCTTGTTTTTGCTGATACAGACTAATATGGTTACCACTCTGAAACCTGTCATAAAATTTCAAAGTTTCCCTTAGAGCTCTTTGAAATCTCCTCTTTCAGGGAACATAATTTCATTCACCTTAACTCATCATTTAATTCTTGACATCTGCTACAATCTTCGTAGTTCTGCACGGCACACCCTACAAGATCTACTGTATGAAGAGCTGCTCATTTTTCTGAACACAACAGTTGTCATTACAAAGTTGCCTTCTTTCAAAAGCAAAATCTTTCATGAAGGGCTGTTGATTTTTCCCCATTTTGCAATTTTTTTTTTTTTTTGCAAAAATTGAGGTGACTTATTTTTATTGACAATTGATCAAATACATTAAGAAAACTTACTGAAATCATTATCAAAATTTAACACTGAGAATTTTGATCATATCTTTGATAAAAATTTCAATAAAAACACACCCAAAAATGGAAAAAGTGGAAAGTGGGTCAATTTTGAACCTTGGGAAACAACTTGGATATTTTAAATAATTTCTCTTTAAAAATTTTCTCCCACCTTTAGTGCTGTGGTAGTCAGGACTGCATACAGCGTTCCAGGTGGGACTAACATATTTCAGAAAGGGCACAATAGAAGAGCCCTGTATTTTGAAGCATTTCACAACCTTCTTTTGAAAAGCTACAGCCTACTACCTTTGATTGGTTTGGTAGAACTATTAATTGGCATGACTTTGAATACAGCTCAGAATACCAACATTTTTTAACATTGGGGCCAATGTAGGTAGGTATGAATTTAAAAAATAAAAAATGTACCTTGGTTATAAAGACAAGCAAAACCAATGTTAGTCCATAAATGTAAACAGAAGAGAGGTTAACAGACGATGACTGTATCCCATGATTATTCCAATAGACTCCTCTTGCTTTGATTGCTTCTATCTTGAGTTCATTTATTTCATATGACATGGAGCTTTTTAAAGGCTTTATAAAGACTCCTTCCTTTTATTTAAATGTTTCTTCTCTCCCTTTCCATGCCAAGAACGTATGAATGTTACAAATGGGTATGGATAATGGAACCATCTCTGCATTTTCTTTAGACAAATGGAACCACTGATGCTATCAAGGATTCTGACCACATACATATTTTTCATATTGTCCAGTTCATCAAAAAGGAGGTTTTAACCTGAGTTCACATATGCTTGTTTTCTCTTGTATTAACTACCCCCAACAAAAGTGCTACAGATGTATAGCTTTCTTATTACATGAGCGTGAAATCAAAGTTGATATTTAACAGAGGTCGGAATCATGTTGGTTCAGTCACATCTATAGAGTTGGCCTTCTTATTTTTGTTCTCTGTTTCAGAAGTGGCTTTTGTCTTAGGTGAACAATCAAAAGAGAACATGGAAACTGACCATGAATATTTATGTCTTCCAAAAGCACCAATATTTGGAAGTTGGAATACCTTAAAGCCACAGGACTTTATTCTCTGAAACATAAATGAAAATGGGAGGAGTGTGAGGGTCCCACCTCATCACGTGCATGTTACTCATTTCCAATACTGAGCTCTTTTGGCTAAGGGCTTCTATGCCACTGAACACTCTGCTTTTCCTTTGTTACCCAGTGCTTCAGGCGCTATTTGAAGTAGTTGAGTCCTGCCACGAGGAAAAACTTCTCCAGGAAAAGTTCAGAGTCCAGCACGGCTATGTGGGCAGCCCGTCCGATCAGCGTGTTGGCAGTGTTGGGGAGTGCATGGAACACGTTGTGTCTGATTAAAGTGCAGTCCTTCACCCCGACCAAAGGCTGGAGCAGGTTGTTTATCATCTCTGCATAAATGGGACCTGAAAGAGATTTTAAGAGGCAGTCAAAGTGTTAGTGACTTGGTGATGGGTCTTCTACACTGTATAAAGTACTTCAGGACTTAGGCCTGATCCCATTAAAGTGAAGAGTAAAACTCCCGTTATCTTCAGAGGTAACAGAATTGGACCCTTCCTTCTCTGTAAGGTAGAGTTCAGATGGGCTAGCAATGTGGCATGGGGCATACAGCTCCTCTGGGACTTGATGGGGGAACCAGATAAGGCCAGAACACCTTGCCTGTTTATTCCAGAACACTAAATTGAGGTGTTTTTAGGAGGCTGGTGAGGAAACCAGGTAATGCTCTCTAGGGATTTGAATGATTTATATTGAATCTGGATCTGGGTCCTCTTAGGCCTTGTGTTTTCCTGTGAGAGGAATGCCTAAGGAATGGGTGGGAAGATGTCCTTCCCTCCTCAACTTATGTCCAGGCTGGGGGAAAACAGTGGGGGAAGCGAAGGGAAAGAACTACAGCTGAGAGACTGATAATGCCAGCCATCATTTTTGACCTGTTGGTCATGGATGTCTCTTCTCACATACAGCAGTGTAAATCAGGAAAAACTCAATTTAAATCAATCATTCACATGAAACTGGTGGCAGAAGAATCATACTGCTGTGCTTTTGCCATTATTTATGACAGGTCTTATCGTACCTGTGTGCCGGTCTTTAAGTGCGGTTTTGCACATTTCTATCCTCGCTGAATGGAATGGGACATATCGATCCTGGGGAGATGCCACCAGTACAACATTTTTAAAGTACTGAAGACCTGTACCAAAGAAATACATCAAAAATTGTATATCTCAGCAATCTATCAAAACGACAAATCTACACAAATGTTAACAGGAGTACTGGAGAGACAAGGTGGGTGAGGTAATATCTTTTATTGGACCAACTTCTGTTGGTGACAGAGACAAACTTTCGAGCTTACACAGATTCTTCTTCAGGAGTATGGCATGATTGCATGTGTTTTAAAATGCACAACCTAATCGAGGAAGAAGAGTTATATATGTAGCATACTTCTAAAGAACAGTACAGTAATAGCGTAAACCACTGATATCACTGATGTAAGCTGTGATGTCATTAGTTCCTTTTAACATTCATGTGGACCAGATGCTTAACAGGAAAACGTAACGGCACTGCCCCTGCTCCAAAGAGCTTCTAGTCTAAGTCCCCAATATTGCAAATTTCTATGCATGTGAGCAACTTTACAAACATGAACTGCCCCATTCGGTTCAACATGAGTGTTTCTAGGATCAGGGCCTAAACTGAGAAATGAAACAAATAAATGAGCATCATAAATGAACACAAAAATGTGGTGGGAAAGAGACAAAGGTTCAGGCTCACAGTAATGATATCCCATGGTTACTGAGCAAGGGAGTTAAGCCGTGGGATAGTTCCATTACATTAGGTATTTTGTTGTTGGGTTTTGTTTGGTTGGTTTTTTTTAAATACTCCCAATTCTCAGAAGTGACATGACAGAAAAGAGATTTTTAAGGGGGATCTGAATGAGGGTTGATAGTCTTACTGTAGACTCAGGAGTCGTTTTATTTTTAAATAAGGATCGGGACATTATTTTCTATTGAGTAATTAAAAGCCCATGGTGTTGAGAATGCATTGCTGTAATTTATGATTTTTTTCTCAGTTAATGTATTGTGAAGTCATCTGGACCAGCCAAGATGGATGAATTCAGTGTGCAGTACCAATCACGGCTTATTCTAGAACATCAGCTGTGTATACCGTGCTAGTGACAGATAGATCATAAGCCTGCTGAGCACACCACCATCGATCATAAGGACTGTTGAACACACCACCATTAAAGCAAGGGAAGTCTTCACACACAGCGCTCCACCCTACAAGATTCATGGAGTAGCACAGGGGTCAAGCCAGGACCCGATCCACAACTCACTGAAGTCAGTGAGCATCTTTCCTTTGATTTCAGTGGGTTTTGGATAAGGCGCACAGGATACAGACTGGTGCTATTGCATGGCTGTATTACAGGGAGCGACACATTTGGGGGAAGGACAGAGGTATGCATATGATCATGGTAGGGTAGGAGAGAGAGTGGTCTGCTGTTAAAACACAAGCCTGGGAGTGATGAGACCTGCATTCACTTACTGTCACTGCCGCAGACTTTGCTGTGAGATATTGGGCATCTCCCTGAATATTAGTAGGGCTGCACGGTCTAGAGGAATGAGCACTGGCAAGAGACTCAGGAACTCCCGAGCTCTATTTGCAGCTCTGACTCACTCTGTGATTTTGGAAAGTCACTTGGCTTCTCTGTGTCTTTATGTGTAAAATGAGAAGACTACTACGTAACTACCTGTCTCTTAGGAGTGTTCTGAGGGTCAATTAGCACCTGTACAGTATTTGAGGGTGGCAAGTACTAAGTGACACAGTTACTGGGGAACTGCACCTCCAACTCCTCCCGGGCTCATCAATTGCACCCCTCTCTGAGGTTTTGGGCCCCCAGCTGTCACCTGAACTCAGGGCTGAATCATGCAATTCTTCCCCTAATATTGAGCTCTGTGTGGCAGTGACCTTGTTGCTAGCAGTGATTACTTTTGCAGGTCTGACTTGGGATCAGATCCTGCAGTTCTGTTCCCTACAGGGCAATGACAGTGGTAACTAGTGACCCAACAGCCTCCTGAAAGCAGAGTATCATTTATCATGTACTAGCAGAACAGCATCTAAGAAAAAGCATGTCTTATAAACAACCGAGTGGCCTATACTCATGTCTGCTTACCAGGTGTCTAACCATCTCCTCGCTCTCTGTAGACTCTTCTGCAGAGCCTCTTTGTCAGTTTGTCTCCCTGTCCAATGACACTCCCTGGAGAGACCTATAGCAACTCACTTCCTTCACAGGGATCAAGACTTTTTATAACTGTTTATAGCTCTTTTAATCTCTAGATTCCCAGTGAGGCAAAACGGCTGTGTCTCTTTGGCCTACAGCCTGGAAGGATGCCATTATCTTTTAGGTGTGTGCCTGGGTGTTCTTATCTGGGATCTACTGTGTTGTCTGCCCATCCAGACCCAGTTGAGTTCAAGCATTCTAGGTGTATGATAAACTGACCACTACCACCAATATAAATCAGATCAATACAGTTATACAGGAAATTCAAATAATTGCAACATACAACTTCCGCTCATAAAACTATGACATAGCAATACTCATAACATTATGACATATCAGCTCCACATCTGTCATACAAAGTATTATTAAATAATAGCATTTGATTTTACAAATAGCCCTCTTCCTTCTGGCAGCCTATCCCAGTAGTTCATGGGTGATGAATTAAATATCAGGAGTGACAGCGTAGGCAAATATGTACAGCAATTGACCACTCACATACAGACTTCTCCATTAGCAGGAATGTTCTCCTGAGAGAGGGAATTCTAGCTAGGACACTAGGGTTCGGTCCAATTCTTTTCTGAAAGAGCCTCAGTTAGTTCGGTTGATCAAGGATAGACTGAGGTGGGGCTAATGGGACCTCTCTTTAGCATTACAGCGGAAGAATGATAACTCTCCCTCTGGCATTGAACTGTGGTGTTAGCAATGGGCATAAATAAAAGCATCACCGAGGACCTAGACTCAAATACCCTGGGTCCTAAAGGTGAGAATTAGGGCTGTGTGCATAGTGGATTTTTTTTGTCCTTAGGCAGTGTTTTTTTTTTTTAAAGGATCAAATGTTTTGGGTTGAACCAAATTTTTTTTTTAATTTTTTTTTGCAAACCAAAAAAATATATAAAAAAAAAATCGTGTAGATGTTGAGCCTTTTTAACATTTTTGATTTTTTTAAAAAATACAATTAAGGGACGTGTTGAAGTAAAAAGTAATTTGGAACCAAACAATCAAAATGGTTTGTTTGTAAAATCTCTAGAGAAAATGTTTTGACTTGTTGGTAATTTTTTATAGGGATTTTTTTGGATGAAACGATTCGGCAAAACCAACAGAAATTCTCGAGCTGATTCAGTATCATCAGATCTGCATTTTTCACCAAAAGTTCTATGTGTCAACTCTCACACAGCTTTAGTGAATGGCTCCAAACTATGCCAAACGAAACAATAAAGTTTTTGCCCTTTAGCAATACAAATTAGCGACCTACGGACACGGCTAGTCCTTGCTTACAGGGTGTGCACACAGAGATGGGCCTGAACTACTGCGTTTGTATTCAGATGCAAATTGACCAAAGTTTGGTGGGGAGCGTTTGGCAACCCCATTCCATGGTGATGTCTACACTAGAAATGCATAGGTAAAATGGATTAGATCAGACAGAGGAGTCCAGAGGATGATATGTCTGGGGGGAGAAAGCAGAAGGAGACTCCGCTGGTTGGAAGGCATGAGATGCGCTGTCCTGAGATGGGGGGTTCCACGACCACCACTCCCAAGAGAAGGAGGCGGGTGGTGGTGGTCGGGGACTCTCTACTCCGGGGGACTGAGTCATCTATCTGCCGCCCTGACCGGGAAAACCGAGAAGTCTGCTGCTTGCCGGGGGCTAAGATTCGCGATGTGACGGAGAGACTGCCGAGACTCATAAAGCCCTCGGATCGCTACCCCTTCCTGCTTCTCCACGTGGGCACCAATGATACTGCCAAGAATGACCTTGAGCAGATCACTGCAGACTACGTGGCTCTGGGAAGAAGGATAAAGGAGTTTGAGGCGCAAGTGGTGTTCTCGTCCATCCTCCCCGTGGAAGGAAAAGGCCTGGGTAGGGACCGTCGAATCATGGAAGTCAATGAATGGCTTCGCAGGTGGTGTCAGAGAGAAGGCTTTGGATTCTTTGACCATGGGATGGTGTTCCATGAAGGAGGAGTGCTGGGCAGAGACGGGCTCCACCTTACGAAGAGAGGGAAGAGCATCTTTGCGAGCAGGCTGGCTAACCTAGTGAGGAGGGCTTTAAACTAGGTTCACTGGGGGAAGGAGACCAAAGCCCTGAGGTAAGTGGGAAAGCGGGATACCGGGAGGAAGCACAGGCAGGAATGTCTGTGAGGGGAGGGCTCCTGCCTCATACTGAGAATGAGGGGCGATCAGCAGGTTATCTCAAGTGCTTATATACGAATGCACAAAGCCTTGGAAACAAGCAGGGAGAACTGGAGGTCCTGGTGATGTCAAGGAATTATGACGTGATTGGAATAACAGAGACTTGGTGGGATAACTCACATGACTGGAGTACTGTCATGGATGGTTATAAACTGTTCAGGAAGGACAGGCAGGGCAGAAAAGCTGGGGGAGTAGCACTGTATGTAAGGGAGCAGTATAACTGCTCAGAGCTCCGGTACGAAACTGCAGAAAAACCTGAGTGTCTCTGGATTAAGTTTAGAAGTGTGAGCAACAGGAGTGATGTAGTGGTGGGAGTCTACTATAGACCACCGGACCAGGGGCATGAGGCGGATGAGGCTTTCTTCCGGCAGCTCGCGGAAGCTACTAGATCGCATGCCCTGGTTCTCATGGGTGACTTTAATTTTCCTGATATCTGCTGGGAGAGCAATACAGCGGTGCATAGACAATCCAGGAAGTTTTTGGAAAGCGTAGGGGACAATTTCCTGGTGCAAATGCTAGAGGAGCCAACTAGGGGGGGAGCTTTTCTTGACCTGCTGCTCACAAACCGGGAAGAATTAGTAGGGGAAGCAAAAGTGGATGGGAATCTGGGAGGCAGTTACCATGAGTTGGTTGAGTTCAGGATCCTGACACAGGGAAGAAAGGTAAGCAGTAGGATACGGACCCTGGACTTCAGGAAAGCAGACTTCAACTCCCTCAGGGAACGGATGGGTAGGATCCCCTGGGGGACTAACATGAAGGGGAAAGGAGTCCAGGAGAACTGGCTGTATTTCAAGGAATCCCTGTTGAGGTTACAGGGACAAACCATCCTGATGTGTCGAAAGAATAGTAAATATGGCAGGCGACCAGCTTGGCTTAACGGTGAAATCCTAGTGGATCTTAAGCATAAAAAAGAAGCTTACAAGAAAAGGAAGTTTGGATATATGACCAGGGAAGAGTATAAAAATATTGCTCGGGCATGTAGGAATGAAATTAGGAGGGCCAAATCGCACCTAGAGCTGCAGCTAGCGAGAGATGTTAAGAGTAACAAGAAGGGTTTCTTCAGGTATGTTGGCAACAAGAAGAAAGCCAAGGAAAGTGTGGGCCCCTTAATGAATGAGGGAGGCAACCTAGTGACAGAGGATGTGGAAAAAGCTAATGTACTCAATGCTTTTTTTGCCTCTGTCTTCATGAATAAGGTCAGCTCCCAGACTGCTGCGCTGGGCATCACAACATGGGGAATAGATGGCCAGCCCTCTGTGGAGAAAGAGGTGGTTAGGGACTATTTAGAAAAGCTGGACGTGCACAAGTCCATGGGGCCGGACGAGTTGCATCCGAGAGTGCTAAAGGAACTGGCGGCTGTGATTGTAGAGCCATTGGCCATTATCTTTGAAAACTCGTGGCGAACGGGGGAAGTCCCGGATGACTGGAAAAAGGCTAATGTAGTGCCAATCTTTAAAAAAGGGAAGAAGGAGGATCCTGGGAACTACAGGCCAGTCAGCCTCACTTCAGTCCCTGGAAAAATCATGGAGCAGGTCCTCAAAGAATCAATCCTGAAGCACTTACATGAGAGGAAAGTGATCAGGAACAGTCAGCATGGATTCACCAACGGAAGGTCATGCCTGACTAATCTAATCGCCTTCTATGATGAGATTACTGGTTCTGTGGATGAAGGGAAAGCAGTGGATGTATTGTATCTTGACTTTAGCAAAGCTTTTGACACGGTCTCCCACAGTATTCTTGTCAGCAAGTTAAAGAAGTATGGGCTGGATGAATGCACTGTAAGGTGGGTAGAAAGTTGGCTAGATTGTCGGGCTCAACGGGTAGTGATCAATGGCTCCATGTCTAGTTGGCAGCCGGTGTCAAGTGGAGTGGCCCAGGGGTCGGTCCTGGGGCCGGTTTTGTTCAATATCTTCATAAATGATCTGGAGGATGGTGTGGATTGCACTCTCAGCAAATTTGCGGATGATACTAAACTGGGAGGAGTGGTAGATATGCTGGAGGGCAGGGATAGGATACAGAGGGACCTAGACAAATTGGAGGATTGGGCCAAAAGAAATCTGATGAGGTTCAATAAGGATAAGTGCAGGGTCCTGCACTTAGGACGGAAGAACCCAATGCACAGCTACAGACTAGGGACCGAATGGCTAGGCAGCAGTTCTGCGGAAAAGGACCTAGGGGTGACAGTGGACGAGAAGCTGGATATGAGTCAACAGTGTGCCCTTGTTGCCAAGAAGGCCAATGGCATTTTGGGATGTATAAGTAGGGGCACAGCGAGCAGATTGAGGGACGTGATCGTCCCCCTCTATTCGACATTGGTGAGGCCTCATCTGGAGTACTGTGTCCAGTTTTGGGCCCCACACTACAAGAAGGATGTGGATAAATTGGAAAGAGTCCAGCGAAGGGCAACAAAAATGATTAGGGGTCTGGAACACATGACTTATGAGGAGAGGCTGAGGGAACTGGGATTGTTTAGTCTGCGGAAGAGAAGAATGAGGGGGGATTTGATAGCTGCTTTCAACTACCTGAGAGGTGGTTCCAGAGAGGATGGTTCTAGACTATTCTCAGTGGTGGAAGAGGACAGGACAAGGAGTAATGGTCTCAAGTTGCAGTGGGGGAGGTTTAGGTTGGATATTAGGAAAAACTTTTTCACTAGGAGGGTGGTGAAACACTGGAATGCGTTGCCTAGGGAGGTGGTGGAATCTCCTTCCTTAGAAGTTTTTAAGGTCAGGCTTGACAAAGCCCTGGCTGGGATGATTTAATTGGGGATGGGTCCTGCTTTTGAGCAGGGGGTTGGACTAGATGACCTACTGAGGTCCCTTCCAACCCTGATATTCTATAATATTCTATGATTAAATAGTTTTGCTTCAGGCCCATCTCCCCTTGACGCCAACAACGATTAGCAAACATCACAGATCAAACACTGACGACTTCTTTTATTTCCTGAAGAGCATCTCAGCACAGGACAACACTTTGGAGAATTTGCTCTCCATCTAGACATTTTCTCACCTGGTTTTTGGCTGAGCTGGTACAGAAAACATTTGCGCAGATCTGCGTTGTCCCTGAAGGTCAGCTGCAAAAGTGACCCTGATTTTTTCAGCTTCTGCATGAGCCATAGGCCTAGAATGACAATTGGGTGTGGGTTTACCGTAGTCGTAATCATCAGACCAAACGTCTCAAAAATTAAAGAATCCCTTCCATGGTTACAAAATTGTGACTGAACATTCTCGGGCTAGAAGTGCCAAGGCAATCGGCCATCAGTACTCTGCATTTCTTCTTGTGCTAGTGGTCAGTGGCTAGAAAACCTCAGGGCCATATTGTATTCTCTGCTTCCATGAGCAGAGAAAAGAAGGATCCAGGAGAGCTATGACATTGTTGTCCCATCATATAATTTTACTCCTGTATTTTGCAGGTACTATGGGCTGATTCCAGAGGCAGCTGTTGGTCAGGGGATTCCCTGACCTTGGGGCTCATGCAGAAACAATTTTATTGAGGCCATGGGGGGGGGCGGGAGGGGGGAATTGGGAGCTGAGATTCAGTGTGGAGGTGGAAGCATCTAGCCTCAGCCCACATGTGCAGGCTTTCCTGATCCAGGAAATGGGCTGGGATTCCTGAATGCAGCTAAACCCAAACCCAAAGCTAAACTCAAGTGGTTGGAGGTCTGGTGTGAATATTTCGCACAGCTCTGGTTATACCACTGCCCCATTCACACAATGGTCTCTTACAGGTACTGCTACACACAAAAGTAAATCGTAGTCTTTTTCATTAACTCTTACCTGTACTAACCAAAGTGCTGTTGTTGTAAAGGGTCCCTAGGTGAGGCCCAGAGAGGGACAGGAAGGTGTGTAACTTGTTGAGGTAATAGCGAAACCTGGGCCGAGTTAGTACTGATCGGATGATGACGTTACCGAGGGAATGACCAATGAAACTATTGGGAGAGACAAAATGACACAAACAAAGAACAGTCTATATATTCCTTAACTTCAAAATGTGTTGGGCATGCATTGCTCTCTTTTGCCCTATGTGGATTGGCTCTGCCTCTAAACAGATTGTTCATTAGTGCCTTTTAGTCATGTTTTCCCATCTCCTTTATCCTCCATGACATTTCCAGCTCAGCAGCTGCTCTGCCAGGTATGGAAAAAACCAATATCTTAATACACATTGTGAAGCCCATTAAGTCTATAGAAAAACTCCCATTGACATGAATATGTTTTGTATCAGGCTCCATATAATGGAGAGATGATTCTATTGAACATTACAGTGCTCCGTCACATCCAATTAACCGTCAGTGTGTTTTACCTTATTCGGGAGATGGAGAGGTTGTACAACTGGATATGTTGAATAATTTCATCCAGTAATCGGTCCGTCATTGAATCAAAATCAGCAAAAGTATCAGTCTGGTGAAGAGAGAATGGTGTCAGCTGATGACTGAACTGTCAATGTATTGCATTGCTGTACAAAAAAAAAACTGGACGAATGATATTTCTGAGGAAAAATACAAGCAATAAAATAAGAACATTTCATGCATCATAAAGAGACAAGGGGAAAAAAAGTCACAGATCCAATTTTTCTCAGTCTCTAGGTCCCCTGGAAGTTGAATTTCTCCTCCAAAAGGTGACTGTGTAAAAACAGCTTCAAGGAGTTCCATGTTTATTGTCTCTCAATGATTCCATACTAAATATGCTCAGTTTGCAAGCAAACAGATTTGGTATTTTTCCCCCTCAGGGTTAATGCTGCAAACTCACTCAGGCTGGTTCCTTCCTTCTCATACATCGTTAACGGTAATGAAGGATCTACAGGCCAAATTCTGCCCATAGTGACATTTGTGGAAGCCCACTGCCATCGGGGGCTTACATGGGTGTAACTAGTTGGAACATAGTGAGCAAGTCTGTTGATGATGCAGAAGGAGGAATATATTCCAGCTCATGCTCTCTTAGCTGCGTTGGCTCGGCAGGGCTAACAGGAGTAAAGGGCATACAAACTCATTGTAGTCTCTAAAACGGACATTACTCTGCATACACAAAGTGAGCAGATTTGTTGAGTAAGACAACCCCCTTTTTACACAGTCGTCTTATGTAGTAGAACCACACTGTAAGATCACGGTAATGGCGCACAAGTTGCTTAGGCCAATATTATTAGACTAGGGTTCATAAAGGGACCTGAGTTACTATCAGAGGGGACTGCAGATGCTCAACCCCTCTGAATATCAGCCCCCTTATGTAGGGGACCAAGCATATGTCTACATTTAAGATACTACATTAGCACAGCTGCAGCTGTGCTGCTGTAGCACTTCCGGCTATGTCTACACTAATTAAACCACCCCCTCGAGTGGTGGTAGCACTGTGTTGGGGGGAGAGCATCTCCTGCGCACAGCGCTGTCCACCCCAGCGCTTTTGTCAGTGAAACTTATGTCGGTCAGAGGTGTGCGGACAAAAGTGCTAGTGTAGACAAAACCTAAGTGTAGACGCTACCTATGCCAACGGGAGGGGGTCTCCAGTCGGTGTGGGTCATTCCCGAGAGGTGCTAGCTAGGAAGAGTTCTTCCATCTCCCTAGCACGATCTACACCGGGGGTTAGGTCGGTGTAACTATGTCTCTCAGGGGTGTGGATTTTTCACAGCCCTGAGAGATGCAGCTATACTGATGTAAGTTCCTAATGTAGACCAGCCCCAACTTTAGCATTTAGGACAAGGATCGGCAACCTTTGGTATGTGGCCCATCAGGGAAAGCCGCTGGCAGGCTGGGATGGTTTGTTTACCTGCAGCGTCTGCAGGTTCGGTAGATCGCGGCTCCCACTGGCTGCGGTTCACCGTTCCAGGACAATGGGGGCTGGGGAAGAGGTGGCCCAGCCCACGCCACTTCCTGCAGCCCCCATTGGCCTGGAACGGCAAACCGCAGCCAGTGGGAGCTGTGATCGGCTGAACCTGCAGACGCTGCAGGTAAACAAACCGTCCCGGCCTGCCAGAGGCTTTCCCTGATGGGCTGCATGCCAAAGGTTGCCGATCCCCGATTTAGGATTTAGTGGATTATCAGGCTAGACTAGTCTATGGTATTATAAACTGACCCTAACAAAGTTATCAAAAAAATTGTATGCTGCTATCACACAATACCATGTGGTGTTTGACAGTTAATCAGTAGCAAGATGAGTATCAGCAGGATATTTACGTTATTTATTGCCTGAGGCAAGACTGCCATTTGTGATACAACAAAACAAACTATAAATTGTCTAGTCAACAGAACTGCAGGAGAGTATTCTTGTTTAGAACTGTGTCAGGACTCTAAATCAAATTCAAAACTAATGAGATGCCAGGGAAACAATCATCAAGTGTTGGAACAGATATTTAGGGAAAACATCTCTAGTAATTAATGCTTCTGTGACAAAATTCATCTCACTAATTGCAGCTCTTGCAAAGGAGAACATGAGCATATCCAATTTCCAGTGCTGCCTTAAAATAAATGTTCTCATAAACTAAATACAGTCTACTAACCTCCTGCCTATTTGTTTTGTCTGCATCGATAATTAATGATTTCCTCCTAAGCTCATTATCTTGAATCTTGCAGGTTATTTAGAAGTGGAAAAACACCATCCCAAGTGTAAGTTCTAGACACAACACACACAGAGTCCTATTTCACTCGTCTGTGTTTCCATCCCTCAATATCACTTCAGTGCCTTTCCAAATGACATAGATTCACATTTTTCCTTGTAAGGCAAATTTTTTCTAGACAGCTCACACCTCAGATCTGTTACAGTCTCCATATGGCTCTCTGTTTCAGGGAGGGAAGAGGATATGGCGGCTAAAAGCACAGCAGGAGGAGTCAAGAGACCTGGGCTCAGTTCCTAGTGGTGCCGTGCACTTGCTCTGTGACCAGCGGCAAGCTGCTCGCTTTGCTGTGCTCTGGTTTCCCAAACTATAAAATGAGGGCAATACTGCCTCACCACGCACGCTAAACAACAGGAGACGGAGGTGCTGTAAGGCTTAACTCTTTCATGTTTGTAAAGTGCCCTGAGAGCCTCTGGCGAACGTGCACAATATGATCATCATTAACGTTACTTTGCATGCATTCTGCATTCCGTGAATGGCTGCTGACATCAACAGAAACTTGAACAGGGTGAGAGCACAGGTTGTTCCATTGCAACCTACCTTTGGATAAGAGAGCTGCACTGCAACCCACACTGGAATATTTTGCTCTAAAGTTTCCCGGTACCATTAATAGAACAGATGAATGCTTTTGACTGGACACTGAAAACCTTGCTCTGTTTATGGATGTGGCCCTTTATGTACTAAATATGCTGCATCACATGCATGTAGGGCAGAGGACAGAGTTCATTTCTGCTGCTCTGCATTGCACAGGCAACCGATTACCTTTCCTGGAGGGCATTTCTTCATCATACGAGCAAATACATCAAAATATACTACACAAAGGAAAATTGTCTGTCGGATGCTTTAGTTGAAACCAGCAGTACCAACTCCCTCAAGCAGACCATAGCATCCTCTTGAACATTTAGAATGAACATCATCAGGCCGGCTGTTCTCTTTTTGTTCTGCATAATTTTGCACATCATACAATAGATGGATATATCAGACCGTTGTACTTGCCATTTAACATGCTGTTTTTAATTATCTCCTTTCCAAAGGTCTGATCCTTGGACCACTGATGCCAATGGAGAGTTTGCTACTAACTTCAGTGGCAATAGGATCAGGCCAGCAACAGCTGCCTTCCAGTGAGGAAAAGTACTACTGATTTGAGTGGGAGCTGGTGCAGGATATCCATGCTAAATCCTGCACCCCTCACAAAACTCCAAACGGGCCTTTTTCTGAAGATGTGTAGGTTTTGGCCCTAAGCCTTTGAAATGTACAATTCCTGATATCTGCTCTGCAAAGGCTAAGTTTCAATGACTTCAATGGGACTGCAGAGGATGTAAACGAGGGCAGAACCTGGACCTGTATTACCTGGTTTCTTTCAGACATTAGGAAGTCCAGCTTTCCACCAGGGAGTCCCAGTTCTATAAAAGTCTTTACTAGTCGCAGGTCTGCGCTGTTCCCTATAAAAAGAAACAGGACTTGATAAGAGATTTCATTTCACAATAGGGTAAATACTACAGATTCTGTTCACTATGTTCTTTTCAAATCTCAACACTGCCCCTGGAGTTGTCGCGGGGAGTGCAGCTGTGACTGATGGCTCACTGCGTTATGGTAAGCCCTGATACAGCCATGCAGGGGAGCAGCAGTGAGACAGGAATCCCCACAAACTTTGCAGCTGCTTGAGGGCTCCCTAGATCTTAGCTGCAGGTGCTGCAGATGTTCCCCAGGAAGTGAAGGGATGGGAACTGGCAGGGAATAGGAATCCTGATACCTCTGCCATTTCACCTGCTATTGGCTGGCCAGCAGAGATGCAGGAATAAGCTGCCCTTTTCAGAGCGACAGCAAATAACTCCCTTTCATTCCCAAGCAGAACAGGGGAGACCTAAGACATATTGTGACCCCAAGGGGTGAGTCTGAGGCACAGTGTCTGCCAGTGTATCCCCTGGCGTGCTGTGCCTGTACACTGTGACTTACACACAATCCAGCCTTCCTGTGACTTTGCTTGCTGCATATGTTATAGAGTGAACAATACTCACCTTCCCCAGAGCTAGCCACCTTCTCTCCTTCAGAGACGGCATTTAAACCAAGTTTTCTGTTCGCTGGATGATATTTTGCTAAATGATCGGATGGTTGTGAAATGCAAAGGAAGGGGCTGACAATTTTACTGGGCATGAAAGGTTGCATTTAGGGGGCAAAAATCTGTCAAAATTCTTCATTTTGTAACAAAAGCGTTTGTGGAGTAAATGTTAGAATTTCTGCTCAGATCCTTTCCAGCAGCATTATACAGAACAACACACTATGGGCCAGATTCTTGGCTGATGTAAGTGACACCCATGGACTATGTTGAGTTACACCAGCAGAGGATCTTGACTTCTGTATTTTTAATATGAATAAACTCCATGAGGCAATTCCGCACAGCATATCTCTCAGGCCTTACCATCCAGTCCATGGACACAGACAACCAGGTGAATTCCATCTTCCAAATTTTCTTCCTCTTCCTCTGGTGGAAAATATGGGATATCAGAAGCTAGTACAGATAAGTCACTGTACAGAAATCCTTCAATCTTCAGTTCTTTTTTAAACTTTTCTTTGGCCTGATAAAAACTGGAGAATACACTAATTAATCACACGGAGAACTGGGTGTTCAACAATAAAACCTTTAAACTAGGAATGAGCATTTGCAATAAATTCCCTTTTCAGCTTTGAAGGTGAAGTCCAGTATACTTTGTCCTACAAGTTAGGGTGACTAAGGGAGGTTGGGGTGGGCAGGTAGATAGCCTGTGATCCAAAAGGGAGTGAGCTACCTCTCGTGGGAGAGATCCACCCAGTGGTACCTCACCTGCTAGAGTCCAAAGCGGGTTTGCTGCTAAAAATCTTCTGGTCACCCTAACAGGGAGATACAAGGCTATGTAGCTGTATCGTAGAAAACGTGGTGTCCAGATCTACCCAGCAGGGCTAATTAGACAGACATTAACAAACAAATCTGAGCTAAACAGATGAGGGGTCGACCTCCTCCTCCTACCCACTCAGACAGTTGCACAAATGGATGCAAATTTGTATCCCATGAAAAGGGATAGTAGCTTTGACCCAGACACAAACCAGCTAAGAACAGTTCAGTGTCCCTCCAGCTAGACTAACATTTCCCAGCTCTGGGGCCTACAGTTTGGCTCCTAAGTCCACACTGAACAGCCTCTGGACTCAGTGGGAGATGCTCAGCCTCTCTAAGAATCAGGCCACACATTGAAGCGCCTAAGGTGATTTTTCACAGCCAAGCTGGGAAAATTACAGCTTCAGTCTTGGGGCAAGACTGTGACCATCCTATTCACTGGGGAGCACTTACTCACACAAGTAATCCTATTGGATTCAGTGGGGCTGTTCAGAAACTTTTGCTTGCCAAAAAGTAAGGGCGGGGGGGGTCGCAATCTAAGACTTACGCTATGGGATTTAAGGCCCTGGATTCAGCAACACACTTAAACACTGCTTGGCTGAACAGAGAAGGAATTAAGCTTGTGCTTAACTTTAAGCACAAACTTAAGTGCTTTGTTGAATCTGGGCCTAAAAGCCTGACAACCATGGTTCACCTGGAGAAGGAGAAGGCAGAAGAGACAGCTATAAAGCCAGAGAGTACAGTACAATACATGACAGTAAACCCAGCCACTACAAAATTAAACAGAGCATTAGAGGAGCTTGATGAACGACCTAAACAAAGCTAGGAATCCGAACACAGACCCTTTAAGAGTCTAGCCCAGGGGCTGGCAACCTTTCAGAAGTGGTGTGCCGAGTCTTCATTTATTCAGTCTAATTTAAGGTTTCGCGTGCCAGTAATACATTTTACCGGTTTTAGAAGGTCTCTTTCTATAAGTCTATAATATATAACTAAACTATTGTTGTATGTCAAGTAAATAAGGTTTTGAAAATATTTAAGAAGCTTCATTTAAAATGAAATTAAAATGCAGAGCCCCCTGGACCGGTGGCCGGGTCCTGGGCAGTATGATTGCCACTGAAAATCAGCTCACGTGCCGCCTTTGGCATATGTGGCATAGGTTGCCTACGCCTGGTCTAGCCCTTACCCTCCTCAGTGTTTTAAGATAACTCCCAGCACAGCACAGGACACAAAACGTAATGGAAACCTCTGTGATGGGTAGGTTTGCGTATTGTGCTGTCAGCTAGGCAATCCATGCAAAATACCCCCAAGTAAGGAGAAAGGAAAGATGGGCTAGGGCAGAAGACTGTGAGTCAGGGATCTGAGTTCCCAGCAGTGCTACAGACTCCCTGCATGACCCTGGGCAAGTTGCTTAGCCTCTCTATGCCTCAATTCCTCATCTGTACAATGAGGGTTATGTTACAGCCCATTTCCCATCCTTTGTCTGTCTGGATTAGTTATACTCTAAAGTCCTCAGTGTGGGGATTGGCTCTTAATGTGCGCTGGCAGAGCGCCTAGAACAGTGGGGACCTGACCTCAGCTGGGGTCTCTAGGTGTGACTGCAGCTGTAATAAAGAAAGCCATTAGACAGTCTTACCTAAGCATCCTTTCATTGGCCTCTTCCTCCACATCATCTGCCGTGCAGGGGACAACGCCGAAGGAGCCTAAAGGCTGGCATGTAATAGGGAAAGCAGCCTGCTTTGAAGAGAAGCCAGCCACCACAGGAGTCTCTTTGAGCACCGAAGAAAAGGGAAGACATGTGGCTGTGCAAGAAACAGACAGGTTAACCACCTCAACGGCCTTTCGGCTCTCCAGTGCCAACCCGTCTGTGGCAACAGAATGAAAGCCAGTGCTGCCATTAGCCACGAGCCGACGCTCCACGATGTCTGATTCCTGAGGATATTCGGCACAATAAGATCCTGCTGCAGAATCCACCAGCACAGATGCGTCGTCGAGTTCAATTTCTTGTAAGCCCTGCATTTCTTCACATGACATCAGGGTTTCACTGGCGACGGGGCTCCCACACTCTCCTCTGGTTGAACCAAATTCAGTCGATGTCTCTGATGAGGCTGGAACAGTGTAGCAAAAATCTGGTACCTCGCTCAGGCCATGTGAGAAATTCTGGACGTCTAGTATGGTAACACTGGAATAAAAGTCTTGACGTATTTTCAACCCCTCAGGTACAGGTTTAAGTGCATCTTTCAGATCCTCACTGCATGCACCGCACTGCACGCTAGTGGGGTCTGAGTATGTGGTGACACTCTGTGTTTCCAAGCTGCACTCTTCATTTCTCTGCACTGCCTGGCATTCATAGGTATCACATCTGTACTGCTTTAGATTTACGGGTTGTCCTGCATATTCCAAACTACAAACTCTTTCTGAAAAACCTTCCTTATCTTTGACTTCTTCTGGTAGCTCAGCGCTGCAGTTACCTTGTTTGACAGCAGTGCTAGGATGCTCTCCTGTGGCCATGTCTGGTTCTGATCGCTCACTTTCCCTGGCAGTCTGACAGTCAGAAAAGTTCCCTGTTATTGCTATGCTTCTGCACGTCACTTCCATGTAGCTTTTCAAGGGCCCTTCTGCAACTTCCAAGATTGCTTTATTGCATTTGGAAAGATCTACAGTGTCTGTGGGCTCCTCTGGGCTGCTGATCTGCGGTGCAGAAACGGATTTGGTCAGCTTTGTAAGTTCTACTTCCCTCTCTTCTTCCTCAAACGGCAATGAGCTAATTGATGTCAGCGACGCTTGGATCCCACTGGGCAAGCTTGTATTGCTTTCCGTTTGCCCACCCTCTAGAGAGTTTCTGTGTATGGTGTGCCTCCGTACCAGCTGCTGCAGCATCTCACGGTCACTGGGCAGCTCCAAAGCCCGGCTACGTGCATCGGACCAAGCCACCGAACTGGGTTCACTTTCAATGCCCGAGTCGGATATTATTGACGAAGATCTCTTTATGACCCCTGACGTCAGGGTAAACTCTTCACATTCTTCGGCTCTTTGCTCCTTCACAAATGACTTCACCTCCAGGGCATCTTTTGTTGTCTGGGTTAATAAACCAAAAGTACTGATTGGTAACGCTTTCAAAGCTGGTAGCAGAGCCTTGTTGTCTTGATCCACTGGTTTTTCAAGACTGTTTAGTTCATTTAATGCAAGTTCATCCGAAGTGAGAATATGTTCATAATTAGCAGTTTTAGCTGCTTTACTTAACTCAGTGCTGTCTAAGAGGCCACTAGTTCCACTGTCACCCAGAGCACTAATGATTAATATGGGTTCACTTTCGTGGGAATCCTTATTGCTAGGTTCCATATCCACGCACGTAACACCTGTAGCAAGTCTGTCGTCTTTTAATGAAACATCCACTGACGTTTGGAAGTCTTCAGCTTTGTGTTTTAAAAGGCCTAGTCCCAAGCCAGAAACAATTTCCTTACTTGAAACTGATGTATTTTCATGGGATACATCCGTTTTCCTTTGTACTTCCTTGTTGACTGTATATGCCTGAGATGTGGAGTGCTGGGTCAAAGCTTTAGCCATATAAGCATCAGCTGCAATATCGCTGTAGATACAGGGGGCATTCCCATTTATTTTATCTGTATGTATTAACAGAGTATCTTTCCTGAAATCTCCCTTTGCTAATGCAATGTCATCATTTGATGCAAGAGCCTCCTTGTTGTTTATTAAGTCCATTTGTGTACCGTTCATCTCAGGAACCTCAAAAGCTGGGAAAACATCCACACTTTGACCTGAAAGAAAAAAAAATAATGTCCTATACAAGGAATCAAAATGTTTGTAGGTGATTATACACACACACACCCTCCCACATGCACACACCACACATATACATGCCTGATCAACATTCTTTAAGCTGCATTCACTTTTAACTGTTATCCTCACTGCATGGTTAAATTAAAATCACTTAGAGCTGTGAGTGCTAAGTACCTCTAAAAATCAGGCAACGTAGATGTCTTAAAACTAGTGGATGCTCTTGTAAATTCAGCCGTATATTCTTATTACAGTGTGACCACTTGCAACATGGATAGTTTTTAAAAAAATATTCCTGTTAAATACTTGGTAAAAAGTTGAGGAAAACTGAGAATTACAGATATCTTTTTGGAAAATAAAACCACAGATCCTATTACCTTATAAAAAAAGTATTAGTGTCAATAAATAGTTTCCTTTATAACCGCTCAACATTTCGTGTTCTGGTAAGAGGCAGATGAAATATTTTATAGAGGATTTTCCCACCACTAGATGTCACTCTAATAATGAAAACCACCACCTCACTTCCTCTTAATGGCTGAAATGAAAACTCCAGGAGGGTTTGTTTCCGATTTTACCTCCAGTTCTTGGAATTAAACTGTTAATCTTAAAAAACAACAAGAACACCTCATAGAAAGAAGATGTCTAAGTAACAGGAAGTGTATATACTGCAATCTATTGAAACGACAGGGGACATTAGGCACCATAAGCAGAATCATTCACACCATGTTGAAACCTGACCAGAAAACACGCCCCTAACTTGGGTGAGAAGTTACACAGGATCATTATTGACCAAAAGTCGTAGGGAAAACCTTGATTTTAGGCCTCATTTTAAAGATGGAACCTGGAGCAGCCATAGAGCCCTCTAACACCACACTGGAAGACTGGTTCGGGACTGTCTAAGGGTATGTGAACCTACCGACCCATCCACACTACTTCTTGCAATCCCCTGGGAGCAGCCCTGCCCCCGCATTGCCAGCAAGATGGGCTGAAGGCACAGCCTGAGGGGCATGACTCACTTTTGTAAGGGAAGTCCACATATCTGTCTTCAAAAATCACCGGAACTGTGTTCCCATCCCCATCAATGTCCAGGCATTCGGCTGGCAGAGGGGGCATGCTGGTGAGGTACTCGGAATTCCGAACGTCAGTAGAAATCTGGCTATGACTTTGGATCCTGAGAGCAAGACATGGAGGGAATCAAGTGTGGGATGAGTTACTGTGCAGCTTTGCCATCATTCACCTCATCTAGTCAGCAAAACAGGTTGAGTCTGACCAAAGCACCGGCGAGTGCTTTGAAACACAGGTGCCTAAGATTCGGTGCCTATGTCCATATTTAGGCACTAAGCAAATGGGCTAGTATTCAGAAGTGCTGAGCAACCACATCCACGGGAGGGGAGAGTGCTGTGGAGCAAACAGGAGGGCGGTGTTCGGCTCCTGGCAAGACTGGACCGAGACATGCTGAACAGGATAAAACGTTAGTATTCTACACTGCATTATTTATATCGCACCTGTCTGCTGAGCTGAGTGGAATTGCAAGGAGCCTTTTCTTATGCTGCCTCCAAACCTTTGCAGCCCTTTGTGTGCTTCTTACTGCTGCAGTGTCTCCTCCCATCTAGCAAATCCTGGGGAGCAAGCCACCCCAAAAGGGATGGAGGTGACCGGGTAAAAGGCAGGGTCATGCTCCCTCTTGGATATACAGAGAGAGGGGTACACACTGTGACATCACAAGGGATGCTTCCCGTGTATGTCCTATAACAGCAGGGAGGATTATGCCTCCCTGCCTTCTGGAGCAGTGGTTCTCAAAGCCGGTCCACTGCTTGTTCAGGGAAAGCCCCTGGCGGGCTGGACTGGTTTGTTTACCTGCCACGTCCGCAGGTTCGGCCGATCGTGGCTCCCACTGGCCACAGTTCACCGCTCCAGGCCTAGGGGGCTGTGGGAAGGGCGGCCAGCATGTCCCTTGGCCCATGCCACTTCCCACAGCCCCCATTGGCCTGGAGCAGCGAACCGCGGCCAGTGGGAGCCGCGATTGGCCAAACCTGCGGACGCGGCAGGTAAACAAACCAGTCCAGCCCGCCAGGGGCTTTCCCTGAACAAGTGGCAGACTGGCTTTGAGAACCACTGTTCTAGAGCTTCCTCTGGGTGGCGGGGCCCTGTACCAGTTCCCTGGCAAATCTGTAGCTAAGTGATGCAACTGAGCCCCTTATGGGCCTGGTTTGCTGAGGTGCTTATCACCCATAACTCTCATTGACCTCAGTTAAAATTGTGGACACTCAACGCTCCTGAAAATCAGGTCCAATTATTTCCATGTTATGGAATTAGAGTCCCCGCATCGCTTCTCACAGGAATCACTGGAGAAATTGACCTGACTCCATTTGTTCAGAACTGGGTGCCTACTCAGCTTCTCCTAGAAATGATGGCTTCGCAAAAGGTGCTCTGTCTTCTCGGAGCTCATGACCCAAGGAGGGCATCTTCTTTTCAAGGTGTGCAGTCTGCCTTCCTATGTATTATGTAACCGACTGGGCTGTGTGGGACGTGATGCCATGCACTCCCTTCCAGTAACTGGGGTGAAGAACTGGCCCAGAATGGCTAGTGACTATTATACTCTTCCTGCTCCAGGGCTGAATGACATGACAACTGCCAGGGAAAATGGAGAACTGGCAAAATACAACCAATTTACTGTCCGTGTACTGGTTTTATTCCTGGCTTGTCCCATATGGCAACATGTTCCAAATGCAAGATTATTTTATTTGGATCTTTCTTTAGCTAGTCTATGTATTCTAACAAATAGAGATGAAGACAACACAAGTTTTTAAGAGATGGCATTAATTGGCAGCACTATGGGACGGGCTCCACAGAACAGAGATGGTGAAGAAGTGCACGTATTTCAGATTTCCTTCTGAGGAAACACAGTTAATCACCATGTAATAACTGGAAACAACAAACTTTGTGCAGGTCAGAGGGGAAAAAAAGGGAAAACATAAGAAAGGCCATACTGTTCAACCATAAATCCTGGTTTGCCAGAAGCTGGGAATGGGTGACAGAGTGAACACTGGATGAACACTTGATGATTACCTGTTCTGTTCATTCCCACTGGGGCATCTGGCACTGGCCACCATCAGAAGACAGGATACGGGGCTAGATGGACCTTTGGGCTGACCCAGTATGGCCTTTCTTATGTTTTCCCTCCAGGTGCTGATATAGCAGGAAGCTATAGTCTATATTTGGGGCTCCATATGAGAGAATGAGCTGAACGGTCACTTCTGGGGCCCCTCTGGCCATGTCTCCTTCACCAATGAGCACTACCCACTTTTGTAGGCTGGGCAGGCCCTATACAACCATCCACCCAAGCACTACTGAGGTTGTGGCTGCCTTGCGCTGTTCCTCTTTACAATGTGGTAGACTGTGCACTACATTTGACCCCATGTCTCCAGTTACAGCTTTGAAGAAGGCATCATTATATGGAATCCTCGCCTATGCCGCTGCACGCTGGCGCAATCTGTGGCATTATCCCTAAACCATTTCTGAAGGACATGTCTCCAGTCTGATAAATTCCAGCAATGGGAATTTCACATTCCCCCTGGCCAATCTGTCTCACTGCAGAACTCTTCTAAGACCTCAACATTTTCACTAATCTTTAATCTAAGTTGTTCCTGCTGTACAATAACATTAGCCCAGAGCATCTGCTTTTTGACTCACTTGATTAATGAAAATAATTACCCCCTGCTCCATCACTAACATCCCTGATCATGTTTGCGAGCAGGTATTTCCTCCTCTCAGCCTGGTTTTCTGCAGAATAAGCCTGGCCCTCCCTTAACATTTCCCCAGACAGTGCCTAGTTTCCTCATCTTTTATTATTTTTGTTGCTTTCTGCTAAACTCTCCTCTAAATGAGCTAAGAAGGGTAATCCTGCCTGCAGTCAACTCCATGTAACCCAGCTGAAGGCAGCAGGGTTGTTCAGGTGTAACCGAATTTGGCTCTAAGAATTTGGCTCTAAGTATTTTTAAAATCATGGGGGGGGTCCCAATTCTATTCCCCAGTTGGGGCCTAAGCAGAAGCGGCAAGCAGAGGGAAATAAATACCTTGCTTGTTATCCATAACACACTTCTTTGAATACAGCCCAGTACCAGATTTATTTTCTCTGACAGCCTTCCATTGCTAATTCTCCTGCAATTCATCATCCACTCTGAGCCTCACTATTACCAGCACCCACCCGGCATTCTGCCCATTCTGATCCGTCAGCTCCAGCGCTCATGTTCAAGGCTTTGTGTTAACCACTGATGGATGCTTCACGGCACCGTTCTGTCTGCCTTCCCGGATCCTCCCAGTGCTACCATGGCTGCACCCAAGAGAGTTTCACCCACTTGGGGAGAGTGGGGAGGAGAAAAGAGTTTTTAGGACCATTTGGCACTTGCTGCCACCTCAGTGTGGGATTTCAGCCATAGTCTCCATCATGCTTTAGACCACAAGCCTTAAAAAAACCCACCTGTCTATCACAGGTGTGTGAAGATTACAACCCTCTGGGGCCTGATCTGGATTGTGCATTGTGTAATTTTTTACTGTGACTTCAGTGGATTTACACTGCAGTGAGGTTAAAATAGACCCAATGCCTTCTGTATGGAGTACAAATGCCCACTGAAGATCAAGGAGGAAAGGCATGGATTTGCATCGGAAAGGATAATGTGGCGGCATGGGGTCTGGACCACAAGAAGTTTTAAGAGACTACTTGCTTGCGGGGCCCAAGTGCCAGGGATGAGAGGTGAAAGGAATTACTTACAGGCTTTCCTGAAAGGTCAGCACAGCTAGCTTTTGGTGCTCAGCATAAAAGAATGCTTCTGAGAATCTTCTTACCTGGGTATGAAACACAAAGATCACACATTAAAGCCTTTTAAAGACACTGAGAGCATGCAAGCCAGCTCCAGCTGCTTTGCACCACTCTGGTGACACAAGGAAGCTAGGCACCCTGGTTGCTCCACCAATTCAGCTGGGTTTCTGCTTTGTTTTTCTGGGTGAATATGGCCTGAGATGTTCAAAGCCTCTGAGGATTGAAGACACGGCCCTTGGAAATATTTCGGAATCTGTTCCAATGTATCTGCTGTGTCTTTGTTTAGAAGCAGTGCATCTGTTGAATTTAACAGTTCTCTCTGCAGCTTTAAAACTAGGGTCGCTAATTCCCTTCCCCGGCAGCTGAAATGGCAATAGCGCAGTTACTAAATGAGGAAAGCCAATAATCAATGGTATCTTCTGCACAAAGATATACAGTAACTCCCATTCTTACACATGAACTCAGAGGGGAATAAAACCTACATTATCAGAAACACATACATGCATGGCATGATATCTGCAAATTAAAGTTTTCCAAATTTTTGCATGGACGTTAGAGAGAACAGTAAAGCAATGGACAAATGACTGCGAAATAGCTGCAGGTTTGAAATGATTTGCAGAGCACTTAGTATGAAAAAATACACTCCTAAAGAACTTGGTATTACGATCTGCTCAGAAATAGGCTTTGAATTTCTATGCACTCCAACAAGATACATAATCAAATCAATTAATCTGTTAAGACTCTAGTCCTTATGTTACTACTGTTATTTGTAAAATACAGCATTGTAGAATGGCAGCAGAAAGCATATAAACAAAGTTACAATATCTCCCTAAACCTCCAAGCTGTGTTCTGACAAATGGCCTTTCTAAAATAATAGATAAGCATTGCCTGAACAAGGCTGTTTAACAATAATAATACCTTATGTCTGAGGCTCTCAAACTGCTTCATGTAGCCAGGTAAGCAAGACCGCCCACATTTTAAAGAAAACTGAGCACGTACAGGTCAAGTAACATGCCAAAGAACCCCAGTTCCCTGCTCTAGGCATTAGACGATGCTGCTTTTTTAGCGTAGGTGCTATGCTGAAGGTACCTTCTGCTTCCTATACATTTCCCTCTGAAGGAGTTAGATAATAAAAAGAAAAGGAGGACTTGTGGCACCTTAGAGACTAACCAATTTATTTGAGCATAAGCTCACGAAAGCTTATGCTCAAATAAATTGGTTAGTCTCTAAGGTGCCACAAGTCCTCCTTTTCTTTTTGCGAATACAGACTAATACGGCTGCTACTCTGAAACCTTAGATAATAAAGAAAGTCCTGATCTGAAGCACTGCATTTCAGCACGTGCTTCCCTAAGCAGGCAAGTCGTCCCACTGACGTCAATGTTAAAGTTAAGCACATGCTTACATGGGGCTTTAGTACATTCAGCATAATCAGATAGGCAGCAGCCAAATGGTCATCTGTGCGCGCGCGCATGTCTATGAGAATGTGTGTGTGATACTAAGGAGCAGGAAAGTACTGGCTGCTTATGTATAATGAGACAACAAAAGGAACAGAACTATATTTCCAGTGGCAGCTGTGTTAAGGGAGCTACGAAGGATAGATTTTTCAATTATTTGACCCTGTGATGGCTCTGTTTTTTCAGAGGAATTTACATGTTTTGTGACAATCCAGGTGCCATGGGAAATCAAACCTTTACCACAACGGACTAATTTGGTATTTTGATATTTAAAATGTACTCATTTTTCTGTATAGTACCAGTGTTCTATAAAGGCCAGGTCTTCTCTTCCATTGTGGCTAAGGGTTTTCCAAATTTCAGGCCCACAATATCCGGGATCTACCCAAAAGCCAGGACACTGATAAGGCAGCAAAGGATGGTCAGAGGTACAGTCCTGAAATGCAGCTCTTGTATAGGACAGTAGCCTGTTTGTAATCCATGTCACTAAGGCCTCAAATTCAAATCCACACCAAGACCCTGACCCAGCAAGGTAAATGGGAGGACCTCTGTGCTCACACAGAGCCCTGCTGAAGTCTAAGCTCTGGTCTACACTGGCGGGGAGTGGGATCCATCAAAGTTAAGCAACTTCCGCTACGCAAATAATGTAGCTGAAGTCGACGTACGTAGATCGACTCACCGTGGTGTCTTCACTACGGTGAGTCGACTGCTGCCACTCCCCCGTCAACTCTGCCTGCGCCTCTTGCGGCGGTGGAGTACCGGAGTCGACAGGAGAGCACTCGGGGGTCGATTTATCGTGTCTAAACTAGACGCGATAAATCGATTCCCGCTGGACCGATTGCTGCCCGCCGATCCAGCGGGTAGTGAAGACATACCCTAAGAGACATGGATCTTCCCAGGCAGAACTTATAGTATTGGGGCTAAAATATGGAGCTAATTCAGTTTGCAAACTGCTCAAAGAAAGGACCTTTCTTTTGTACTTGTCTGAGAAGTTCTGGTGCTATTGTAACAACAACTTATTAATGATTATTATTAACAGGTACCACCAAGGAATGCAGTTTGTACCAAGAGTCTATGAGGTTGTTGAAACAAAATTATAAAAGCAGACCCTAGTTTCCCTGTTTCATCATCTCTTGCAGATTGTGGAGATCTTCCTATATCTCTCAGAGCCATGCATTCCAGGCTCCAACATGCCTTCCTCTTAGCATAATGGTATCCAGCTGGAAAACCTGGCTACCACTGCAAGGTGAGGACAAGACAGGTTACAAGGTCACCACTTGCTCCTATTTGTTTAACTAAGAGCTAGGATTTTATAGTTGAAGGAATTATTTCAGAACTGCTATTTGATAGGCATAAAATTCCCACGTGTGCAGTGAGCCAACACAATGACTTAGGCATCACTTAAGTGGTAGGTAGGCTTTGGACTGGTTCTCTGTGTGGGGGTTAATTTCACACAGTGACTCTAATTAAGGCACACTCTGGATGCAACTTTGATCTCTTCCTATCAGGTCGGTATCGCCATTGCTGAATGAATTGCTTAGCATTACCCTTAGTGTGTGATGCTCCTGAGTAAGATAGGCTGTGACTTCTGGATGGAGTGTCACTGTCTCCAGGAACTGGGTCCACAGTGCCAAAAGGTGGGAGCAAAGCCATGCTACGTCCTTGCTAATCTGCTCTGCTATCTTCTCTGGATTGTTCAACATCTGGAGGGGGGGAAAGATGTTTGGAGGTTAGATCAATGGAATTAATTAGGACATTAAATTAAGTCCCCTTAAAAAAAAAAAAAGAATGATCCTTGAATCAGAACTGGGCTGGTGCTGTTTTCCTATCAATTATTTTATCCCAGATCAGGCAGTTACTACAGAATTATTTTAGCACCTGTATTTTAGCACAAATTAAGATGGAGACATAAGGGAAGAGTGGGGAGTGAGCACAGCCTTAGCCAATATTTTTCATTGCAGGTAAAAAGTAAATGAATGCAGCCAATTGGTTGTTGGTTCCAAAATATCCACTAGATGGTGCTGCTTACTCTGGAATACGAAATGATGCTCCCTCTTCTGTAGACTTGGTGATGCCTTTTGATTAGAGCAACATCTCTTTCACACACTAGCTTGGTGACTTTTTTTATTAAGTCTAATTCCCAGTACAGTAGGAAAAAACATTCCAAAATTCCTTCACACAACAAAAAAAAATAGGGGTCACCTAATGAAATTCATAGGCAGCAGTTAAAAACAAACAAAAGAAAGTACTTCTTCACACAATGAACAGTCAACCTGTGGAACTCATTGCCGGGGGATGTTGTGCAACTGGGCTAAAAAAAGAATTAGATAAGTTGATGGAGGATAGATCCATCACTGGCTATTAGCCATGATGGTCAGAGATGGAGCCCCATTCTCAAGGTGTCCCTAAATCTCCAACTGCCAGAAGCATCGGGCACTGACACAGTCAGAAACAGGATACTGAGCGAGATAGACCGTGGCCTTAGCCAACATGGCCATTCTCATGTTCTTCAGTGTATTTTCTCCTTTCTCTACTACGCTTGAACAAGAGTGAGAAACAGATACAAGGCTATAGAGTTCTCTTTTATAATTCTACTGGTATTTATGCACCCCAACCTCTATAGCATATAGTAGCAGTAGAAGCCACAGACAGTAATTATGTTTTACGGTAAATGCGTTAGTACAGCCCTACTACAATGGGGCCCTAGGGAATACAAATTAATAACAACAATAGTAATAACAACACGTTATCCCTTAACAAAACTAAACAAAACAAGCCAACAAAAGGTCTCTTTGCCAGCTACAGTCCCTTTTCACCATAGCGCCACAATGAATCCTGAGTTCCTGCTTGATTTTTACCCAGTCCTTACGCAGGCAAACTCCCAAAGCTAGGAGCACTGAAATCTAAATCACGATTAAAAGTAATCCTTGTGTTCATACGTATGTGTGTGTAACTGTGGGTATCCTGATTGTCCTTACACTGCCCTCACTGCTGTATTCCTGATTCTGCAATCTGTGCAGTGTGGGCAACCTCCTGTACCAATTCAAATAGGGAAATCAAAGGGGCCTATGGGGTGGAGGCGTCTGCCTGCCTGGTGCTCTTTGCAGGATCAGGACCTTATTTTGTACAACTGGTCCCCCTTGCTTAGAAGAAGAAATAACTTGCCCTGTCAGCAATGCTGTTTACTTTTAATTTTAAACATTAGCAACTAAGTTATTACATAAATTGTAAATGAAGGCCTGGAGAGCAAGCTTCAAAGGAGAAGCTGCATTAACACCCAGGGTTATTAAATAGCATGATGGTTATTTTTTCAGCTCATTGACTCTTAACCTTTTTAGCAGGCTTGAGATAACTGGAAAGGTCAGTGTCAAGCTCTAATTGTGATGTTCTTGCTGTATAATAACAGTGGGTCACACAAAATGAGAAGTGTCAGAGAAATCCTGAGAGGTAGCCATTCCACTTTGTTTTAGGTACTCAGCACTTCTCAGGATTCAGCCCATGAGTAGGGCTGAGAAGGACCCTTGAATTCCAAGTCCCCCGCAATTCATCTGAATTCTGCAATATTCATTCATTCATTTGGGACTTCCAGAGGAGCCCAGGAAAGTCTGGAATCCACCGTATTATTGCCCAACATTAACAAAATCAGGAGTCATTGCCGAAATCATACAATTGCCTTAAAAATCAGAAGATTTTTTAAAATAACAATAAATTTTGGGGTTCTTTTATTTGGCTTCTCGTTTATGAACCTTCAGGGTGCACTTGGGTCATATTTTAAAACTTTCCTCTGAAACCAGGAGGGTTAGCCTCACATCACAGACCGTTACATCTCACTCAGTTACCCCTTCCTTGAGCCCAATAACTTGTGTTTGGCTAAAGCACAGCTTCCAAAAATACATCCGGTCTTGACCTGACATCAAGAGATGGATAATCTACTACTTCCCTTGATAGTTTGTTCCAAAGGTTAATCACTCTCACAGTAAAAAAATAAAATAGTATGCCTCGCTGCAAATTGGAATTTGTCCGGTTTTGGCTTCCACCCATTGCTTCCTGTTAGGCCTTTCTTCACAACATTAAAGAGACCTTTAGCACCCAGCATTTTCTCCCCAGGAAGGAATTTATACATTGTAATCAAAGTCAGGCCTCAATCTTCTTGTTGAGAAACTAAACAGATTGAGCATTATGTCTCTCATTAGACGGCATTTTTTTTCCAGCTCTTGAATAATGTTTGTGGCTCTTTCCTGCACCGTCTCTCGTTTTTCAACATTCTTTCCAAAATGTGGACACCAGAACTGCGTCAGCAGTCCAGTATTGGTCTCACCAATGCTGTAATCAGAGAGGTAAAATCACCTCCTTACACCAACTCACTGCTTCCCTATTTATATGCCTGTTTAACTTTAGGCACCCATGTTTGACCATTTGGTCCTATATACCTTGCACTCAATCAGCAGTAGCATATATTATAACCCAGGAGATGGTAGCAACCAGCCCCATGCTCAGTCCATTTAACTAAGCTGATCTCTGGGGCTGTTCCTAGGGATGAAGGTGTCAGCCCTTTTTAAAACAGTCCAGCCAGTGATTTGATGGCAATGAAGGAGGCCCCAGATGCATTTGCAATCATAGTGCAAGAAACGTTTGTTTGACTGGTTGCTGACACTGAACTTGCTTTCCCCAAGTGAGTTGGCTCAGTGAGTCTGGAAACTGTGTGAACGTATTCATTCTGCTAAAGACAATACCTGCAGCTCTGTACAAAGTTGAGATAGCGTATCTTCCACAGCTAGCTCCGCTGGGGGCACAAAAAGAAAAACCACGTTTGAGAAAAGCAGAAGTGACACATTAACTCATTCAACCCTCTATGCTCCACCCTCCACGGGCAAGAGTCTCCTTGGCTCTACACCCAAGATCTCTGCTCAAAAGCCCCTCTCTTTCCTTAATGGTCAAATCCTGCTCACTTTACTCCAGCACCTACCCGCGGTGAAGTTCAATGGGACACTTGCCTCAAATCAGTGTGCAGGATTTGGCTCTTCCTATATGGGACTCCCAGTGGTGTAAGCAGCAGCTTGATCCAGAAAGGGAGCAGGCACCTACAAAATGCCCGACCCCCTTTCCAGCAAGCAGCTGTGTTAGGGCTCGTGCTGGAGCACCCCAAACTTCCACTGCGGTCAGATTATTGGCAGTGCTCAGCGCTGCACCAAAGGCACCCAGCACCTTGCAGGATTACGCCCTTTACTTACTTTATAATGCAAGGTAACACAGTAACAAAATGCAAGCTGCTAAGTGCCCTGGCAAAAGCCTTCCAGGGCAGCAAATGCTTCAGCCAATTGCCCTATACTTTCTTTCTTCCCCAATATCTGAGCAATGAGGCAAGCCAGGCTTGTAAGTCTTTATGCAGCTCTGGGTCTGAAATCTGTCAGCTCTTTGGGGCAGGGACTGTACCTTCCTCTGTGTTCGGAAAGCCCTTGGTACCTATTGGGCCCTGCCACAGTGTCAGTAATAAATCTTATATCTGGAACATGTGCATTCGTTTCCTTTTCTGCATCTATGCTCAGTGGTCCCAACCAAAATGTTTGCTTTTGGGCCTTAGTGTAGACCTAGCTTTTATAGCTTGCAACCGTCAAGTTAGACGGCCCCAGGGAAATCCCATGCTGTAGTTATGCCCCACCAAGTGTGGATCATAGAGACATTCTGCAAAACTTCATAAAAACGGGAGATCTGAAACAAAACCTCAGGAAGTTTGGCTTGCGGAATTTGCAGGGAGGAGCGATCACTAATAATAACGAGTATAAAGCACATGGCCACAAGGGAAGACTATACAAAAACGCCTCCTATTTAAATGTGCAGAGTAACCATGAAGGGACAAATTGACACCAGGGTGTCTAACTACAATTTCGCCTATTCATAGGCGAAACACTGGGGGCATGAACACACATATCCACACCTCATCTTTTAATGTTCTGGTTCATGCTTCAGTCCGGACTCATGCATTTGCACTCTTGGTTTCTCAGGCTTGCTCCAGATCTAAAATGTAGGCTGACATAGCTAAGCTGGTCTGGGGAGTGAAAAATCCACCCCTTAACCAATGCTGCTATGCTGACCTAACTCCCAGTGTAGACACAGACAAATCAATGGAAGAACACTTCTGTTGACATAGCTACCGTCAGCTGGAGAGGTGTTGATCCTACGCCAATGGAAAAACCCCTTCCTTCAGTGGAGGCTGTGTCTACACTAGGGCGCTGTGCTGGCATAGCTAAGGCAATGTAGCTGGTATAGTCCCTGTAGTATATAGTCCCTTAACATGGAAACTGGATCATTGCATTTTGTATGTATAGACCATGGGCCTAATCAACGCCCACTGAAGTCAATGAAAAGACTCTCAGTGACTGTAACAGGCTTTTGATCAGGCCCCAAGTCCTGAATCTGCAATCAGATATTTTAGACTTGTAAATGAGAATGGAGGATTTCATTCATAAGTGGCTAAACTGTTATATTTGCATATACTGAATCTGCATGTATAGCAAGAGTGTGTGCAAATGAAATGCGTATTTATGCATCATAAACTGTCTGAAAATCTGGCCCATGGGACGCAGAAATGTAACCTGTATGTGTTTTGTTTGCTTTTATATGTGTGATAGATGAAACACACAAGAACCTTTCAACTTCCAAACCTGCCAACGTGTGATACAAATAACCTCTACATGTGACCAATAACCAAAATGCATGACACCTGTGTTTTGTTGTCATGCTGTAATTGACAGGTTATAATAACTTTTAAGTACCAGATCTGTTTTTAAGGATGTTTTCTCACTGTGTGAATGAAATAAACCAGATTTTTTAATTGGAGCAGGTTATTTGAGGGAGGGGAACATGCGGCCCATAACAGTGAATGCAGCAGGACAGGGAGGTGGAACCAGCCCCAGTGTGGGACGTGCAGCACAATGCTTTATAGCTGACTGCTCCGATAGTACCTACAAAATCGATATGGAAGACATTCTCCCTCTCTTTTTTTTTAAGCCATTGGTCAATGGAATGGGGCATGTCTCCCCCATCAGCTCTGCAATCCTAATATTGCCAGCTAATACCTTTTCAAAATATATACACATGAAAGTGCCAGCCATACTTCCTATATCCAAAGAAACAGGTTGGAAAACAGAGGCTGGCTTGCGGAGTTCTTCATTTCTAATTAACTTCTCGGTACCACTGCAAGCATGAGAGAGCACAAATTCATGAATGCAGGCCTGCAACCCTACAACAGTGCTAGGCCTTGAAGGTTTGGACCCAGTATCCTTACTAGTGCCTTATAAGGTCTACAAAGCCATAGTGGCTTCTGCTTCAGGGGGAGAATCTATTAAACTGCTGAATTAGGGAGAAAAGCAGAATATGCTTTAAAGAGCATGTGGTAATTATGTTATTATCAAGGCGTCTGTGGTAAAAAGCAATACATTCTAAAGCAGAAATTGGAGACTATGTTCTAATACAATTTACCCTAAATTGAGTTTCCCCCCCTTAATTTGAAAAATATTTGCTCATCAGGCTGTTGGTTCCTAAAGTTCTCCAACTCCTGATAGGGAGCTCAAGGCTTTGAAAGGCAACCAATTCCAGATATCATTCAAGGAAACTATTTTTGGATACTTATAATAACTTATTCCTTCTAAACACTAATGCGATCTTCAGCTAGTATAAACTGATTGCAGTAAAGCGATGTTGATTTACATCAGCCCTGGCTCATGATTACCCTAAAATAAAAACCAAAAATAAAATCAGGGAAAAAAAACCCCCTAAAATCCTACAACCAACTGGAAAACTTAGTTACTACAAGGTATGTTTAAAATGAGACCAGTCAACACTAAGAGATGTAAAATGTCTGTTCTCTTACCTAACTTCAGTTGTGGCAAATCTGGAATCTCTTTCATTATGACTGTGTAGTACACATGAAGCCCTCTGTATGCATTCAAGAGCAGCAGACACAGGTCCTTATGCCATTTGTATGCATGCTGCATGCAGTTTTCAGAAGGGACATAAAAGCTACCCTGGATAAGGAAACAGAAGAAAAAAAATGCAAATTAAAATTTATGCTCTTCTTTTGTGCTGGAGGTTTTAAAAATGTGAGTGTGAGATGCCCCATAATCTTGCATCCTTTAAATCACATTTCAATCTTTACTTCCACTTGTCATCAGTTTCCAAAGAACCACACACTTTGTGCCACAAAAGAAGATGTTCAGAGCATGATTCCAACTGGTCCTTTCCTCAGGCATTAGCTCCTTTTCTACATCAGAAGCAGGAAGCCTGAGTGTGGGTCTGTCACATGAGGATGCAATCGGACAGAAGAAAGTATGTTTAAACCCAGAAGTCTCCAAAACCTTTTGTGAAAAAGGAATAGCATTTTACACCTACCTATAGATGTACGTAGTAGAGCTTGAGCAGGCGTTTGCGATATTGTAACAAAGTCAAAGGGATACCCTCCATTTAAAATCAGAACCTGATTACAAATTTCCTGCCTGCAATTGTTATGAGCACAGCCTAAGATTACTAGAACTGAAAGAAAGAAGATAAAAATGTTTCCCTGATTTTTTCAGTTTGTTTACTTTGTGCATTTGACAGCACTTTGTAGATAGTCAGTTTCACTGTTCGCCCTGTGTGGTGAACTAAGCCCTGATCCTGCCGTTACCTCTGGATTTGATTGCAGAATTGAGGACTGAAGAACTTTCCCCTGTTGTTTGTGTGGGTTTTTTACCCAGAACCCCATGAGAGAAACACTTTAAAGAGGGAATTCAGGAGCAGGTGCCCATTATTCAGATCAGCATTGTCCCTTTAAGTTAGAAGGACAGAGACAGAAGGACCAAACCCCTGTACCCAAACTTTCTTGAACACTAGCGAAGTTCAGACACTGATTTGCACAGTGCAGCTGGGCCTTCCTCCTACAGTAAAGTGGCTGAACTACACACCACATCATAATTCTCCTGCACTGAATATGGGTAAGTAGAATGGCCCAGAGGTACCTTTTCAACTCCAGCGCTTGATACCGACACAGTGAGGGATTCAGATATCAAGAAGCATGCCGATCCTGGCTCTGTTTGCACATGTCACACACTGAACTTCCGCACTGTGCAGCTTACTATCCACTTGCTATATTCCCTGCTGACTGCAGCATGCAGGGGACACCACTGAGCAGTCAACATTTCCTCACAGGCACTGCCTAGCAGTATCTGGGAAAGGACAGCAGTTCTCTGTGCTTAGAACAGGGGACGGTATCTCCGGACTTATCTTCCCACACGTGGCCTGCAAGAGCATGAATTTGGTGGTGTATTTTCCCAGGAGTTAGGTGGGATTTTGTAATGGACACAGGGAAGCAGTTTGTCTTGATGGGTGGGAAGACACTAACATGGGGCTTCTCGCTTAGCTGACACACCACGGACTGAACCTAGGACCTCCGAAGCTACACCCATAAGTCTCCACAGCTTGAGCTAAAGGGACAGGCCCTGTAGCTGGGGGCTGCAACAGACTCACACCCAGTGGGGATCAGACACAAAGGAGAATGCGTAACATACACCGAGCAGTGAATTACAAGGGCATGGAGCGGAAAAATGGTCTTTCTGCAACCTCTCCTCCTCAGTGCGCACACACAGGGGCAGCCATGATATGGATCCCAGCCCTCCAGCTGTCCCCTGGCAGGTGGATTCCTGCACTTGCACAGACCCCCACTGATTTCAATGTGGCTTAGTATGAGCATAGGGGCTTGCCCATGTGGAGTTAGTCAGGGCCAGGGCTCTTGCCCAACACTTGTATTTCTTGTTGGCAAATTTTAGTCTCCATTAGACACCCTCCGGGGTGTCGCTGAGTTGTGTTTTAAATATTAGCTTTAAATCCTGAAGGTTTGGAAAATCTGAGCACTCCACATTTACAACACAGAATCTGGGGACCTTGAGGAGGTGGAAAGGGGGAATGAATAGAGAAAAGGTGCTGGAGGAGGATAAAAAAGTGGAAGTGGCTTGCTCAACTTTTTAGAGTCAAAAATTATTTTGGCATGTTATTTAGGCAAAACCATTGTGACAAATAAATACTATATTAAATAACAGAAGTATCTATTTGTGGTGCATTGTAATTACTCATTCTATATTTGTGATATATTAGATCTTAGTTGCACAATAAGACGACGTTTTAATGGGTCTGTTTGCAGCCTCTCTTGACGTAAAACATCGTGATAATACAAAAATCATAAGAACAGGAAAATGAAACATCAGGTGGGATCACAAATGTGTGAGTTAAATGCAGCGAAAATCTTTATCAATTAACTCTGTTTTAATTACATTCATGTTTGCATAGTTCTCAGATGTTGTTTTCTTTTAAAATCCTAACCTATTTTTCAAACTGATTTCATATGAATGGTTGGAGGCCCTGTGTCAGAGATCAGTTAATGCACCTTAGCTAAGCACAGGTTTTGTGAGAATGGTTCTTGCAAGACCGATGTGGTGCGAACAATGGGGGAGGAGATGCTATTTATAAAAATGTTGCTTTCTGCACAATATATTGGGCAGAATCTAGAGGTCAGTGACAGTCCAGAGCAAGAGCCAGGAGACCTAGTGTGATACCAAACCAGAAAGGATTAAGCAATTAGCAGGCTAAATGACACAAATTTAACCTTTAAAAACATATTAGAAAAGTATATAAATTGTAGTTAGGGCCATTCCTTATAAATAGCTAACAAAGCCATGTTAGATAGACTAGTGCTTTGAAATGTAGACTAGTATTGGTAGCGAAGTAGAAGAAGATAGTGACTGTATTTGTCCATGTTTACCTATATCTTGTCAGAGGTTAACAATGTTACTATATTCTATTGATCCAGAGACCAAAAGGGAATATTAAAATTTAGATGAAACTCAGGTGTAATAATATCATTGTCTACATTTCTCTTTGAAGTTTGTAGTAAACTGTCTATGAACTGCTGAAATGGTTAATTGCCTTATGCTGATCAATGCAACTAATTACCTATGTATACACAGGAAACAGAATTGACTTCTAAGCCATAATGTTTATTACCTTTCTTTATCCAATTAATGCCTGCTGCATTAACTACTGTCAAGAGGTTAATGCGGCCTGCCAGAGATCTATAAATGAACTCTGGGGCCCCAATCCTGTATCTCAGATCTACTTAAGCTTGTTCAGGGGAAACTAGAGTCACAAGACTAAAGTCTCCAGCTCCAAGTCTGGATTACCCTGGTATTTCTCATGGAAGAATTTATACAAACTCTGCATATGAACTGCCTATTTGGATTATAACCTATGGAATTGATTCTGAAAGAACTTTTTGCAACTCAGTGGCTCACCATCTCTACTATGAACAGACCTAAGAACTTTATTCCTATCTGTATGTCCCCATTTGCTCAAAGTGTAATGGCTGCTCTAGAATTATAAATACGTCCAATATAAAATTATACCTTAGTCTCTTGGGAAAAGAGCCTCTCAACCTTTTCAATTAATTGCTTTGCTTTACTAGTTGTTTTAATCCCCTTGTTATGTAGGCACAAGAAGCTTTTACTGTACCTGTTCCAAATGAACCTGTATTGACTTCTGTTTTCAAAGCTATCACAAGTTGCAATCTCAGCCCTTTTAGAATCATGGAAATGTAGGGCTGGAAGAGACCATGAGAGGTCATCATGTCCAGCCCCCTGTGCTGAGGCAGGACCAAGTAAACTTAGACGGTCTCTGACAGTTCTTTGTCTAACCTGTTCCTACAAAACCTCCAGTGTCAGGGATTTCCCAATCTCCCTTGTAATTCCAATCTCCCTTGGAAACCTATTCCAATGCTGAACTATACTTACAGTTAGAAAGTTTTTCTAATATCTAACTTAAATCTTCCCATTATTTCTTGTGCTACCTTAAGTGGACATGGAGAACAATTGATCACAGACCCCTTTATAGCAGCCTTTAACATATTTGAAGACTTACCAAGTCCCCGCTCAGTCTTCTTTTCCCAAGACTAAACAAGCCCAATTGTTTAACCTTTCCACAGAGGTCAGGTTTTCTAAATCCTTTATCATTTTTGTTGTTCTCCTCTGGACTCTCCAATTTGTTCACATCTTTTCCAAAATGTGGTGCCCAGAACTGGACAAAATACTCCAGCTGAGGGCTCAGCAGTATGCAATGGAAAGGGACAATGACCGTCCGGGTCTTACATACAACACTCCTGTTAATACACCCAGAATAATTGTAGCTTTTTTTGCAACCGAATCACATTATTGCCTCATATTCGATTTTTGCTCCACTATAACCCCCGATCCTTTTCAGCAATACTACTGCCTACCCAGTTATTCCCCATGTTGTAGTTGTGTACTTGATTTTATCTTCCAAAGCATGGTACTTTGCACTTGTCTTTATTGAATTCCATCTTGTTGATTTCAGACCAAATAAAAGGGAAAGGTAGATGGGAAGCAAATGGGGAAAAGACGATTTGGGAGAGATGAGAGAAAATGCAGACTCTGCAATTGTTATTTTTTAATTATCTCTTAATTTTCTATGCTATTTGGGGGAGATAAATTTATTCTGGAGGAATGAATCCAGCCCATCCTATTAGTTACCAAATGTTGTTACTTTTTAATGGCTGTTTGGTGGGCTATATGGAATGAGATGCTGACTGTCAGTCAAATTACCAGTGGATTGGATGTGCACATCACCAAAACCCACTACCAGAACCGGTGCTAATTAGCATCCTCAGGCAAGGCCAAAAATTAAATGGATTTGGACTTGGAACTGTCAGCACTAGATTTTAAGGCCAGAAGGGACCATAAAATCATCTTGTCTGAAATCCTGTATAATACTGGCCATGCGTGATGTGCTCCCCAGGTTAGAAATGAGATGTGCTGGATTAGGAGCAAGTGGAGGAATCTTCCTATTTCCTAGATGTTCAGTGGCTAAGGAGAGAATTTCATTATCCAGAAAGGTCAGTTCAGCCCCTCTGTTTACCCAATGTATTTAATAGGAAAGTCATTTAATCTTTCTGTTCCTCAGTTTACTGACATAAATAGACCTGGAC